TTTGAAGCCACTAAGGGGGTGGCCATTTGGTGCAATAGCCCCAGGCAACTCATCCGGATGCTCACTCATGAGCTGGGTCGCCCTGCTCTGCTGCTCACCATGGGTACACGATTCGCTGGGGGCCCCCGGGTCTGCGTCCCTCAAATGGAGGTAAGGACGGGATCCATCTCCCAAGGTTGCTGTAAGGAGGAACCCAGGGAAACCACGTGATCTTCTGGAAAAGTGCCTGGCACTGGTAAAGGGCAGTGAAATGGAGGCATCCGGGCATCTGTACTGTTACTAGCTTGCGGTGTTGTTGCATAGATTCAGCAAGTTCTCATCCTACAGGTTTGGATTGGGCTCAGTGATAGAATCCAGGAGTATTCAACCTGTCCCCCCAACCCCCCCCACAAAAGTTAATGAGAGCTACTGGAACCCATCAGATGGCTGTACCAATGTTTCCTCTGGTATTTCTTTCTTTTTTTAAATTTTTTTAAGTTTTTTTTTAAGATTTTATTTATTTATTTGTCAGAGAGAGAGAGGGAGAGAGCACAAGCAGGGAGAGTGGCAGGCAGAGCAAGAAGCAGGCTCCCCGCTGAGCAAGGAGCCTGATGCGGGACTCGATCCCAGGACCCTGGGATCATGACCTGAACCAAAGGCAGACGCTTGACTGGCCACCCAGGCGCCCCTCCCTCTGGTATTTCTTGAGAGATACCAATACCAATACCAAGCTTCTGGCAGGCGCTGCCCTGTATCTTTAGTTCCATCTTCTAGAGGGACAACTCAGTTTCATGCAGCAAGGTCATGGCCCCGCTGTCCCATCCATAGCCACCAATTTCTCTGAGAGCTGAAACCTCTCTCTGTGTCTTCCCCTCCCCAGCCTGGCCAGGTCATGCTCCTGCTTAGAGACTCTCAGTGGCTCCCACTCACCCATCAAACCTGGAGTAGGGACCCTCTACTTGTTGCTAGGTGGCCGGGCAAGCCACTTCCCCTCCCTGAGCCTTGGTTTCCTCCACTGTAAAATGGGTTGATGATAGGACCTCCAGTATAATGAGGACAGAGCTAGAGTCTGAAAGATACTCCTCAGTCAGCACCAGCCACCTTTTTTTTTTTTTTTAAGATTTTATTTATTTATTTGAGAGTGAAAGACAGGGAGAGAGAACTTGAGCATGAGTAGGGGAAGGAGCAGAGGGAAAGAGAGAAGCAGACTCCCTGCTGAACACGGAGCCGGACCCCGGGGGGGGAGGGGGCTCGATCCCAGGACCCTGGGATCATGACCTGAGCCGAAGGCAGACGCTTAACCAACTGAGCCACCCAGGGGCCCCAGCACCAGCCATTCTTATATGGTTGTTTCCCCTTTGCCAGTTTGGCTGCCATTCAGGGGACACAAGAAACTTCCAGTGCTCCCTTATCTCTTCTACACCCTTACCAGTCTCGCCTCCTATCCGATGGTGGAAATATGTTCCTGTGTTTTCCCTTCATATTCATAATAGTTCTGAGTTTTTATCTATTTTGCATGATTAATGCGTGTGGAATTTATTTTGCTATGTGTCGGGGGTGAAGTTAACTTTTTTTCTTTCCTAATGCAATCAAGGCTACTGACAGGTTGATTTATCCTTTCCCTGCCCAGTGAAAATTCCACATTTATCATGTATTAAATTAAATTCTTTACATATGGAATTCACAAATTAATTTTTTAAATACATGCACCTGGAAAACTCTAAGCTATGTTTTTACTTTCAGTCTTAGCTATCTTTTTTTTTTTAAGATTTTATTTATTTATTTGACAGAGAGAGGGAGAGAGCACAAGCAGGGGGAACACTAGAGGGAGAGGGAGAAGCAGGCCCCCTGCTTGGCAGGGAGACCGACGCAGGGCTCGATCCCAGGACCCTGAGATCATGACCTAAGCCGAAGGCAGATGCTTAACCATCTGAGCCACCCAGGCGCCCCTTAGCTATCTTTTTTAAAAGTTATTATTTATTGGGGCGCCTGGGTGGCTCAGTCGTTAAGCAGCTGCCTTCAGCTCAGGTCATGATCCCAGGGTCCTGGGATCGAGCCCCGCATCGGGCTCCCTGCTCCGGGAAGCCTGCTTCTCCCTCTCCCACTCTCCCTGCTTGTGTTCCCTCTCTTGCTGTGTCTCTCTATGTCAAATAAATAAATAAAATCTTAAAAAAAAAAGTTATTATTTATTTATGTGAAAGAGAGAGAGAGAACGCACACACACTGAAGCTGGGCACAGGGGCCAGGGAGGGAGGCAGGGAGCAGGGGGAGAGAGAATATCCCAAGCAGACTCCGAGCTGCGCAGAGCCCGCAGGGGGCTTGATCTCAGGACTCTGAGATCATGGCCTGAGCTGAAATCAAGAGTTGGACACTTAACTGGCTGAGCCACCCAGGTGTCCCCAGTCTTAGCTATCTATAAATGGTTTGTGTACTGTGTTTATTCATTCAACAAACACCAAGTGCCAGGTGCTATTTTGGGCCCTGGAAACAGTTGTGAACAGAACAGACAAATCCCTGCCCTTGCTGGGAACAGGCAAGGGGGCAGACAATAAACAAACAGCATGTAAATGTGTGATGTGTCAGGTGGTGATAAAAAAAAAATAAAATAAAATAGGGTGATGGGGTAGAGGGGAAAGGGATGCTGTTTTGGATAGGATGGTCAGAGAAAGCCTCACTGAGGAGGGGATGATTGAACAGAGGCCTGAATGAAGTGGAGCCACATGGACATCTCTGGGAAGAGATTTCTAGGTAGAGGGAACAGCCAGTGCAAAGGTCCTGGGGTGAGACCATGCCTGGTGAGTTTGTGGTATAGTTAATGAGGCCAGTGAAGGTGAACCAAGTGAAGGGGAGAAAGGGTGGGGACCCGGCAGAGCGTAGGGGGCCTTATAGGTCATGGTGAAGAGTTGGGTTTTTCCTCCAAGGGAGGCGGGAGCCATGGAAGGTTCTGGGCAGAGGTGTTCACAGGCTTCTCTGGCTGCCACGGAGGGAACGGACAGTGAGGGGAGGGTGAGGGTGGGAGCTGGGAGAGCAGGGTGGAGCTGCCTGCACTGGTCCAGGCAGGAAACCACAGCTGTGTGACAAGGGTGGGGGTGAGAAGTGCTTGAATTCTGGATAGATTCTGAAGGCAGAGCTGGCGTGAAGTAAAGCGAGGTATCTTAGGTTTCTGGTCTGGGCACTTGGGAAGACGAAGCTGCCTTTTCTGAGCCGGGGCAGGTTGGGGACCATCAGGGGCTTGGATGTAGCTGTGCTGAGTATGAGACACCCATGAGGCCTCCAGGAGGTGGGTGTCACAGGGGTGTGCAGCTCAGGGGACCAATGTTGGGGGATCATCAGGGTGGAGCTGGTGGCTGAAGTCCGGGGTCTGCAGGAGTGTCCCCAAGGGACCTTGTGTAGCTGGGAAGAGGCCGCAGCCTCTTTTTTTGTCCACTGCTTGGACTGGGTGGGTGGGACCAGCCAGCCTTGGGGTTGGCAGAGACCACGGGAACCACAGAGTTTCTTTGGGATGCCTGGTCACCCAAGGGCATGGCTTGGAGCCTCGAACCTCCCCTGTTTGCTAAAGCCTGTGGGCCAGGGGTCAGGTGGGGCTTCCACAGCTGGAGGCCTCTCGGGGGAGGCACATTCCTCTAGGGATAAGCTGACTTAGTGACCAGAGCCCTGCCAGGGGATGCTTGCCTCTGAGGGAGCAGCTTATTGAGCAACAACTGTATATGAGCACACTATAGAACCCCACTGCTGACTGTATGCCTCACACCGAATATATATTCCTGCTGATCATGCCCTGGCACCAACTATATAATCGACTACACTATGAAGTATACAGCTGGCCTCAAAGAGCTGTTGGGGGCGGGGCAGTGAGAACAGGCACATGACTGAGGGAGCATACAGTTGGCTTGCAGAGTGGATGGTTGGTGTGGGGGAATACAGTAAGGGGGGAGTATAGCCAGCTGACTGTGTGCCCCACGCCAACTGTATACCTCCTGGTATCCTGTGATTGGTCTGTGACCAGTTTTGGTTTGATACTTTAGTCCCATCTCACAGTTGAGGGGGCTCAGGGCAGGCAAGACACTGGCTGAATTGTCCTCTGGCTTGGATGGGGCCGAGGGAGCATTTGAATCTAGACCATGCATTTAGGATGTCAGCACCACAAGAACAGACCCACAAAATTGGGCCTCTCGTTTGCCACCGTACTTAGTGCCCAGCCCTCGGCCAGCACCCGGTAGGTGCTCAATAAATACTTGTTCTACAAAACAATGGCTTCAGGATTCACGGTTGGGATGTGTGAAGGGGTGGTGAGCTGGGGTGTCTAGCCTTGGGGGCCACCAAGGGCAGTGCCAGGCAGGGATGGGGCATCTGGGCTGCCAGTCCCATTTTGCCAGTCTTCAAGAGAATAGCGATGTGGGTTTTTATACGGAGTCTCCCAATGTTTCACTGTTGGCATTTCATTTAAAAAAAAAAATGCAGACCGAAATAAAACGCGTCCATTGGCTTGAGAGTTTTCAGCGCAAATACTCTATATTTGGGAGTTTGGGTTCAGCCATCTGCCTGTTTGCGGCGCCTGTATCTAGAGTTACCTCCCTGCGCGCCTCAATTTCCATACCTGGAGAATGGGGCAACATGAGGCGCCCTTCCCGGGGTGAGAGGGGTTGTAGGCGGCGTCGCCTGGTTCGGACGTAGGGGGAGCGCTGAGGCCACGGGGTGAAGCCGGAGTTGCCCGGGTGGGGGTTGGGCGGGGGGGGCGGAGAGGGCTAAATCGGGTGGCCGGTGAGCGGCGGGAGCAGCTGCCGCTCCGCCCGCGGCCCCCCCCCGCCCCCCGCCGTCCGTCCGTCGGCCAGTCGGTCCCGAGGCTGCAGCTCAGCTAGGGCCGGTCAGACCGGTTTGGGCCGCCCCGCCTGGCTCCGGGCTGGGAGGAGCCGCCGCCCGTCTGTCCAGCCGTCCCTCCCACCGGACGCCCGCGCTTCCAGACCCAGCACCGAGGGGCCGCGGAGCAGGCGGCCGGCCGCCGGGGCTGGACGCCCGCGGGGATGGGGGGCGAGCGGCAGCATTACTACGGGAAGCACGGTAGGCAGCGCGCCCCTCCCGCACCTGGGCCTGGCCACTTGGAGGGAGCCGCGGGAAGACCCGGCTGGGAGCCAAAAGTGGGGAGCAGAATTGCCCATCCCTGCGGGTAGCCCCTCACTCTAGTCCTCTTCGGGAGCTGCCTCTCAAGAGGCCCCTCCAGACCCCTCCACTGAAGTGTTTGTCTTCGTAAGCTCCCTCCCCTGTACTCCTGCAGGAACCTTCTCCAGATCCCACCTTGGAACCCCCTTCCCTCCCTGGCTCCCCGTTCCCAGTTCCCGATCCAGCCCCTTCCTCAGTAGGTGGCCCCCGGTCCTGCCCCCTCCGCAGTGGGTGGCCGTCAGATGATAACTCGGGGCTGTTCTCCATAAGCCACGGCTCCCCCTGCCTTGGCCTGCCAGTACTGGGGGCTGGGGTGTGGTCGCCGGGAGGTGGGGTGAGGCAGAAAATCCACTGGGTCTGTGGACTTCACTCTTCCTCTGGGCCAGAGATACCCCTAGGGGCTTCTGGGGGAGGGTAGCCTTGCAGCCCCTTCTTGGTCACCCTGCTCAATCTTGCCGATTTTCAGGAACACCACAGAAGTATGACCCTACCTTCAAAGGACCCATTTACCACAGGTAAGGGCTCTGGATTCCTGGGAGAGAAGGGTCTCTGTTAGCACTGCCTCAACCCGGTTCTTTAATCCCCCAGATGTTTCTTTACCACATCTGCTCTCCAACTAACTGGTGATCGATATTTGCGACTTGACAATTAAAGAACTAATTTCCCAAATACACAGTCTTTTTTTAAAAAGATTTTTATTTATTTATTTGAGATAGAGAGAGAGTGAGAGAGAGAGAGCAGGAGCGGAAGGCAAAGGGAGAGGGAGAAACAGGCTCCCTGCTGAGCAAGGAGCCTGACTGGGGACTTGATCCCAGGACCCTGAGATCATGACCTGAGCTTGAAGGCAGATGCTTGACCAGCTGAGCCACCCAGGTGCCCCCAAAAAGTCTTTACAAATGAATTTTTATTTATTTTTTATTTTTATTTTTTAAAGATTTTATTTATTTATTTGAGAGAGTGAGTGAGAGAGAGCGAGCACAAGCAAGTGGTGTGGCAAGCAGAAGGAGAGGGAGAAGCAGGCTCCCTACTGAGCAGGGAGCCTAACATGGGGCTCAATCCCAGGACCCTGGGATCATGGCCGAGTTGAAGGCAGACCCCTAACTGACTGAGCCACCCAGGTGCCCCACAAATGAATTTTTAAACTCAGGCAAAAGACTGGAAGAGATAATTTCTACAACAAGAAATACCATAGACAGTGAAGTTATGGGGAAGTGAAGGTGAAAGGAAAGGAAAGGAAAGTGAAGGGAAACTCACTGAAAGGTAAAGGAATGGGATTTAAAACAGGAACAAAATAGTTTCCCCATCACAGATTAGCAAAGATTAAAAAGATTGGCACATAGGCTGCTCTGAATCTAAGTGGCTCAGGACATTTTGGAGGGAATTTGGAAATATGAAATTTTTAAAAAAGATTTTATTTATTTGAGAGAGAAAGCACGCGTGTGGTGAGCATGCATGTGGGTGGGGGGAGGGGCAGAGGGAGAGGGAGAGAGAGTATCCCTAGCAGACTCCGTGCTGAGCTGGGAGCCAGCTTGGGGCTGGATCCCATGACCTGAGCTGAAACCAAGAGTCCGATACTTAACTGACTGAGCCACCCAGGTGCCCCAAAATATGAATTTTTTTAAAAGATTTTATTTATTTATTTGACAGAGAGCACAAGTAGGCAGAGCAGTAGACAGAGGGAGAGGGAGAAGCAGACTCCCCACTGAGCAGAGAGCCCAGTGTGGGGCTCAATCCCAGGACCCTGGGATCATGACCCGAGACGAAGCTGGCTTCTCTCTCTGCCTCTTCCCCAGCTTGTGCTCTCTAACTCACTCTCTCCCTCTCAAATAAATAAATAAATAAAATCTTCTAAAAATAAAATTAAAATATAAAATTGTTTAAATTTTAAGAAACATGAATCCCTATTGCTATTAAAGGTGGGGGGAAATGGGCACTCTCAATCAAAGGAGAGCTGAACATTGTGGCCAACTGCTTCAAGAACAGTGTAGCATTAGGTATCAAAATGTAAAGGACACCTGGCTGGCTCAGTCAATAGAGCATGCGACGACCCCTGATCTCAGGGTTGTGAGTTCGAGCCCAGTGTTGGGTGTAGAGCTTGCTTAAAAAAAAAAAAAAAAAAGTGAAATGTACGTGCTCTTTGGTACAGCGTTCACACCATTAAGGAACACGTGTCCAGATAACTCATGAATGTGGGTGTATGTGCAGGGCAGGGTGGAGTCCGTGATACACAGGGCCCCAAGGTTCCCACCCTGATGCTGTTCTCTGTTCCCCAGGGGCTGCACGGATATCATTTGCTGTGTGTTCCTCCTCCTGGCCATTGTGGGCTACGTGGCAGTGGGCATCATAGGTGAGTGGAGGAGGGCATGGGATTGGGCTTCTAAGGTGGGAGGACAAGCCACAGCCTCTAGGGCAGACATGGGGATGGTGGTGAGGAATGACAGTGCCTCAGTGCCCCTGGATCCCTCCACAGCCTGGACCCATGGGGACCCTCGGAAGGTGATCTACCCCACTGATAGCCGAGGCGAGTTCTGCGGGCAGAAGGGCACAAAAAATGCGTGAGTCTGGCTCCTTGGGGCCTGGTGGGACTGGAGAGGTGTGGGCAGGATGGCTTCATGAGCACTGGGGAGAAGGTTCTAGGCTCCCACCATCCCCAGCCACTGTTCTAGGCCTTGAGGACACTGCACTAAATGAGACATTAAGAGTCTTGTCCTCTGGGAGCTCACGATTTAGGGGAGGGACAGAGAGGAGACCGTCCCGGATCTGATGTCAGGCCAGGTGAGCTAAACAGGTGAGCTAAAAGCAAGTTCAATCCAGGCTATGCCACTCCCTGGCTGTATGAGCTAGGACGAGTGTCCCAACCTCTCTGGGCCTTATTTTCCTCATCTCTGAAATGGGGCTCATCACAGTCCCACCCTCATGAGGCTGTTGGGATGGTTAGATGAGCCACCAGGCAGAGCTTAGAATAGGGTTGCTGCTACCTGAGTTGTTTGCAACTCTATGTGTAATGAGATATTATATACAGGAAGGTTGAGAAATCTTGACAGTTTTCATCTCCCTTCCCCAACTCTAGGAACAAACCCTACCTGTTTTATTTCAACATTGGGAAGTGTGCCAGCCCCCTGGTCCTGCTGGAATTCCAGTGTCCCACCCCTCAGGTAATTCGGCCACTCCCATATCTTCTTTGCTACCCCTGCTTTCCATCACCAGGTCCTTTTCTCCCCCGAGGGACGGCTTCTCTCTCGGCCCTTTCTTTCCCCCGGTGAATGGGAGGTGGGGCCTCTGTCCCGCGTGGGGATCGTGGGGATCGGGTGTCTGTCTTGATCCCCCCCAACCCCTGCCTCCTGCCCCCCACCAAGATCTGCGTGGAGAAATGCCCTGACCGTTACCTCACCTACCTGAACGCTCACAAATCCCAGGACTTTCAGTACTACAAGCAGTTCTGTGTGCCTGGCTTCCAGAACACCAAGGTGAGGGGAGCCTGGGGCGGGGGGCGCGGGTGGAGGGTGCTGGCCTGGGGCATGAACCCCTTTCCCCCTTTCTTGCTAGGGTGTAGCTGAAGTGCTTCGGGATGGTGACTGCCCTGCTGTCCTCATCCCCAGCAAACCCTGTGAGTCTGGGGTTCCTCAAACTTGGGGGCGGCGGTGGCGGAGGGGCGGCGGTGGGGGTTAGGTTTCAGGGGCTCAGCCTGACTGGTCTCATTCCCCGCTCCACGCAGTGGCCCAGCGATGCTTCCCAGCCATCCATGCCCACAAGGGGGTCCTCATGGTGGGCAACGAGACGACCTATGAGGATGGGCACGGCTCTCGAAAGAACATCACAGAGCTGGTGGAGGGCGCCAAGTGAGGACCTCGGCCTGCCCACATCGGGGTCCTACTTTCCCCGGGTGGGCCTGGGCATCCCCTGGGGCTGACCCAATCAGGGAGGGGCTCCGACATGAGCCTTGTCTGCTTGTCCCCAGGAAGGCCAATGGGGTCCTGGAGGCGCGGCAGCTGGCCATGCGGATATTTGAAGATTACACGGTCTCCTGGTACTGGATAGTCATGTAAGTTGGGTACGAAAGTGGCCCCCCTGGTCTGTGTAGCCTGGGGCTGGTGAGAGGGTGCGGTCTGCTCATGCCCCTGTTTTATCCCCAGAGGCCTGGTCATCGCCATGCTGATGAGCCTCCTCTTCATTGTCCTGCTCCGTTTCCTGGCCGGCATTATGGTCTGGGTGATGATCATCATGGTGGTTCTGGTGCTGGGCTACGGTACGTCTCCCCCTTCCTGCACCCTCCCCACCCCTCAGCCTGCAAAATGCCTCTGCTCTCTGACCTGACCGTGGCGATCCAGAATCTTGTCCTAAGCCATCTGTCTTTTATTTGGCATATTTGTGAAGATGTTCATCTCAGCCTTGTTTATGGGAGTAGGCACTTGGAAATAACCTCTGTGTTTATGGATGGAGGATGAGTTAGATCATAGCCTTCCAGTGGGACCTGGATCTGCATTTTATCTACATCAAAAAGCATTCTCAAGTAGACTACGTGGTTAAAGATGTGTGCTCTAGCACCAGACAGCTGGGGGTTAAAGACCGACTCTGCCAGTTCCTGCCTCTGTGACCCTGGGCAGGTGACTCAACCTCCCCGTGCCTCAATTTCTTCCTCTATAAAGTGGGGCTAATTAGTATTTACTAGTTAGCAGGCTTAATGAGAAAAAGTGTACAGACGAGATGGGGGGAGGGCCCTGTAGATCTCAGGCCTGTGCAACCCAGAGGCAATGCACAAAACCCAGTGCTTCACATTCTGATTCTTCAGATAAACATTCCAGGGGGGAAAGATGTCTCACAGGCAGCCCAAGGTGAGGACGCGGATATTAAAATATTCATGCTAATGGTGGTTTCTAGCTGGGTGCTGGCATTTTAGGCAAATGGTTTTTGTTTGTTTTTAAGATTTTATTTTTTTAAAAAGATTTTATTCATTTGAGAGAGAGAGTCAGTGAGAGAGAAAGAGAGAACATGAGCTGGGGTGGGGGGCGCAGAGGGAGAGGGAGAAGCAGACTCTGCTGAGCGGGGAGCTGGACACAGGGCTTGATCCCAGGAGCCCAGGGACCTGAGCTGAAGGCAGATGCTTAACCAAATGAACCACCCAGGCGCCCCTAAGATTTTATTTTTAAGTCATCTCTACACCCAGCGTGGGGCTCGAACTCATGACCCTCAGATCAAGAGTCGCATACTCTACCAACTGAACCAGCCAGGCACCCCTGTTTTGTTTTGTTTTTTACTTTATCTGCATTTTACAATTCTACAAAAAGCTAAGGGGAATATTGAAAATCCCTAATGCCACCCCACTGGATGTTAATACCCACATCCTCGGTCCCCACCCATGAATCACTGTTACCGGGTGGGAAGGAAAGCCTCAGGTCACAGAGCATCCTGGCACCTCTTCAGCCGCTCATTTATGCATGCATGCATCAAGCCTGGATCGAGTGCCTGTGTGTCCCAGGCAGTTTTCTAGGTCCTGGGGGTGTGGGGAAGATGGACAAGAAATAATAAACCAGGGGGAGCCCGTGACTCTTCATCTCGGGGTTGTGAGTTTGAGCCCCATGTTGGGTGTACAGATTACTTAAAATCTTAAAAAAAAATAATAAACCAGAAAACCCTCTAGGAGGTCCAAGCAGAGAGAAGGGCCAAGAGGTTGAGTGTGAGGGGGTGTGATTCGAAATGGGAGAAGCGGTTTGAGAAGGTCTCATTAGACGGTGGCCTCTGAGGGATGCCTGGGTGCCTCAGTCGGTTAGGTGTTTGCCTTCAGCTCAGGTCATGATCCCAGGGTCCTGGGATCAAGTCACACGTCAGGCTCCCTGTTCAGTGGGCAGCCTGCTTCTCTCTCTCTCTCTGCCTGCAGCTCTCCCTGCTTGTGCTCTCTCTCTCTGACAAATAAGTAAATAAAATCTTTAAAAAAAAAAAGTGATATTTGAGTAGAGACAGGAGGGTGTGAGAAATTCAGTACTAAGCAGCGGGAACAGCAAGTACAAAGGGTCTGAGGCGGGGCGCCTGGGTGGCTCATTCGGTTAAGCATCGGACTCTTGATTTTGGCTCAGGTCATGATCTCAGGGTCCTGGAATTGAGCCCCAAATCGGGCTCCATGCTCAGCAGGGAGTCTGCTTGGGATTCTCTCTCTCCCTCTTTCCCTCCCCCCTGCTCTCTCTCTCGCTCGCTCTCTCACAAATAATAAATCAATCAATCTTTACAAAGGCTCGGAGGCAGTTGCAAGCAATGGCAGCCGCTCTCAGCTTTGGTTCTTGCTTCTGCTAAATGGGGGTGCTCCCACCTGCTCTGCAACATTGGGGGAGCAGCCGGTGGGCTGAGGTCGGTCCCCTGTGCAGGAATATTTCACTGCTACATGGAGTACGTGCGACTGCGGGGCGAGGCTGGCTCCGACATCTCCCTGGTGGACCTTGGCTTCCAGACAGACCTCCGAGTGTATCTGCACTTGCGGCAGACGTGGATGGCCTTCAGTGAGTTCCAGCCCCTCCCCCCATCCTGCCCCCGGTGAGGCCTGGGAGGGAGTGGGGACAGGCGGCTGGCAGACTTGGCCCCCCTCTGCCCCCACAGTGATCATTCTGAGCATCCTTGAGGCCATTATCATCTTGCTGCTCATCTTCCTGCGGAAGAGAATTCTCATCGCCATTGCGCTCATCAAAGAAGCCAGCAGGTGGGGGCCAGGGTGCCCCGGGGCTGGGCTGGGGTGGTCCCAGGGCTGCTTGGGCCCTGATGCCTGTGTCTCTACTCCTCCCTAGGGCTGTGGGATACGTGATGTGCTCCCTGCTGTACCCACTGGTCACCTTCCTCCTGCTGTGCCTTTGCATCGCCTACTGGGCTAGCACTGCCGTGTATCCACCCTCAGACCCGGATCCCTGACCGCAGGGATGGCTAAGGGCCAAACTGGCCTGGAAGTGACCTGCAGCTTTGGGGCGGGGGGGGCAGACCACAACCTGGTAGAGGAATGGATCCTTTCTCACAAGCCGCTGGGGCCCCAATCCCAACCCTCAGGTTCCTTAATGAACCTCCAGCTTCCTGTCCACTTCCAATGAAGCTGTCTATAAGATCTTTGATGACGGCACCTGCCAGTTTGCTGGGAAAACCTGCAACCCTGAGGTGGGGGTCGACTATTTCCCCAGCAGCCCACAGACTCTCTGAAACCTCTCATCCCTGCCTGGGGACCATTCAACAAACATTTGGTGCCTGCTGTATGCCCGGTGCTGGATGTGGGGAGCAGGGTGGGGAAGAGATCCAACTTGGCAGCCCCCAGCCCACCCTGACTACTGAACCACCTACCGTTCTCCCCTTGACTTCATTTCCTGCCGCATACCCCTCCCTTAACACGCTGACAGCCAGGTATCGCCTCTAGAACCCCTTCCTTGCCATTCACAAGCCCCTCTCCTGATCCCTGTGGTCTTCCTACTGATCTTTGCCACTCATGTCCTTGTCCATGTGGCCACCCTCCTGATGCATGACCCCGCCCTGATCCCCAGGACAGCTTATCCTGCCTCCCCGACCTCCCCACCATGGAGTCAACGATCCCGTCTTGCTTCTAGAACCCCTTTTGGAAGCCCCTATACTGAACCCCCATCCCCTTGACTTCCCTCTGATTCCCAAGACTCCTGCCGCACCCCACAGTCTATCTGACCCAGACCTGATGCCCAGAAGCCACTCTGACCCCCTGGCCCCTGGGTTGTGACCCAGCTCTGCATCCCTCCCACAGACTTTCGCCTCCTCCAATGAATCCCGCCTGTGCCCTGGTGCCCACTGCCAGTTCGCCTTCTACGGTGGTGAGTCGGGCTACCATCGGGCCCTGCTGGGCCTGCAGATCTTCAATGCCTTCATGTTCTTCTGGCTGGCCAACTTTGTACTGGCCCTGGGCCAGGTCACACTAGCTGGGGCCTTCGCCTCCTACTACTGGGCCCTGCACAAGCCAGATGACCTCCCTGCTTTCCCACTCTTCTCTGCCTTCGGCCGGGCGCTCAGGTGGGACTCCGCGTGGTCTGGGAGTGGGGGCGAGATGGGGTTGAGGAGCCTTGGTGCGGCCACTGACCACTCCCTTGGCCCTCAGGTACCACACAGGCTCCCTGGCCTTTGGTGCCCTCATTCTGGCCATTGTGCAGATTATCCGAGTGATGCTCGAGTACTTGGATCAGCGCCTGAAAGGTGTGGCCCTCGGGTGGCTTGCTTTGGCTGCTGGGGGTCTGGGCTGAGAGTCCTGGGTCCTGTTGGTTCCTACTTGGGTGAGGGGCAGGACCCCGGGGGTTCTGCATCAAGTTTCCTCTCCCTGTCTCTTTGAGTAGGTGGGCTCCGGGAATCCTGGACTGTGTGCATGTAACGAAGAGGTGGGGGGTGGTGGATCCTACCAGGGGTCTCCCCTCACCTCTGCATCCCTCCTTTCTCTCTTAGCCGCCGAGAACAAGTTTGCCAAGTTCCTCATGACCTGTCTCAAATGCTGCTTCTGGTGCTTGGAGAAGTTCATCCGATTCCTCAACAGGAATGCCTACATCATGGTGAGGAGGCCTGGGACCCAGAACCAGCCCACCAACTCCTGCTGGGTATGAGGAACCCCCATTCCCAGCCAGTGGGACTGAACCCCCTCCTACTCCTCCCCCTAGATCGCTATCTATGGCACCAACTTCTGCACCTCGGCCAGGAACGCCTTCTTCCTGCTCATGAGAAACATCATCAGGTCGGGGAAAGCACGGCCCTCGGGCTGCCTCCCTCCTCCCCCAGCCCCTGAGCCCGCCTTCATGCCTGCTTCTCACTGTCCCCTGCAGAGTGGCCGTCCTAGACAAAGTTACCGACTTCCTTTTCCTGTTGGGTAAACTTCTGATCGTGGGTAGTGTGGGTGAGTGCTGCTGGCCAGCCCGTGGTGCTGTGGGAGCCTGCCGGGGTGACTTGCAAAGTGCTTTGGGGCCCCCACATCTTCTTTTGTGACAGGCGTGTCGGGGTGACTTGTGAAATGCTGTTGGCCCCCCCCTTCTTTTGTGACGAGTGCCGCGTTCTCTGAGGTCGGGGGCGGGGGGCTTCCTTTGGCCGGAACCCTCATCCATTTGGGTCTCCTCCCTCTCTTTAGGGATCCTGGCCTTCTTTTTCTTCACCCACCGGATCAGGATTGTGCAGGACACGGCACCGCCCCTCAATTACTACTGGGTCCCTATACTGGTATGGACCTTTGGGGATGCGTGGGGGTCCAGGGAGAAGGAGGTGCTGAGGTCTCCTGGTCTCTTTTGACTAGACAGATGTGGATGGAGATCACAGGCGGGGGATTGATGATTTATTCAGTCCACAAACATGTAGTAAGCACCTACTGTGTACCCGGCCCGGGGGCGGGAGGGGCAGGAAAGGCTTCCCTCCAGAGGACCTTACCTTTCAGAGGCAGATAGACCTCATGATTACAAACTGATCCGTGCCACAGGGGAGAGTTACAGGGAACTGTTAAACTGTTTGAGCCTGTGGTGGAGGATTTGGGCAGGCCTGGAAGGCCAGGTGTCTTCACTTTGGAAATGATGTCGGATCTAAGATCTGAAGGAGATACGGGGAACCTCCAGGCACAGGGATCAACAAATACGGAGGCTCTGAGGTGGGCCTGTGTCAGCAATAGTGAGGAGACTGGTGTAGTGGGGAGGAGGTGGGGACAAGGGCAGGGAGGTGGTGGGGCCATGAAGGGGTAATGTCATCACCCTGAGGGCAGTGCAGGCCTTGGAGCCCAGTGACCTAGATTTTTATCTGAGTTCTCTATTTGTTCACTCTAAGATGAGTCCGCCTGGGCAAGTTATTTAATCTCTCCATGGTCCACTCACTTCAATCCGTAAATGTTTATCAGATACCTGCCAAGGCCCTGTGAGTCTCCAAATTGTTGGGGGGGTGTGGCCATAAGTGGGACAGATACAGTCTAGTGGGGATGAGGGCATTATGCCTGTAATGCCCTAAACACGCATAAAATTGCAGCCAGCCAAAGGTCTCAGAGGACAGGCATGCAGTGCTAGGAGAGCATAAAACAGGGTCTAGATGTCAGAAGCAACTTCTTGGAGGAGGTGGTGTCTGAGGACTTGATGTTTGAACTGAAAACAGAAGGATAAGAAGACAAAAACTTGACTAAGTCAGGACAACAGCATGTGCAAAGGCCCTGGGGTTGAAGAAAACAAGGAGTGAATGGCAGGACTTAGTATGTTATTCTAAGGAGGGGTTATCAGCAGGGAAATGACAGGGCTCCGAGCCTGGGAGGGTGTGGTGAGTGGAGTTGCTCTAGGAGCTGGGGTGGAAACAGCTTGGCTCCCCTTGCCTAGACGGTGATCATCGGCTCCTACCTGATTGCCCATGGCTTCTTCAGTGTCTACGGCATGTGTGTGGACACGTTGTTCCTCTGCTTCTGTGAGTGACCCCTCAACCCAACCCTTGCCAGGCCCTGGCTGCCTTCTCCCCTCTGGGCATAACATCCGATGGGGCTATGTATTCAACGGCCAGGAGCCCCCCAGCTTCCCCGGGGACTGGCTGTTCCGCGACAGAGGGCCCTGGCATGCCTTCTCGGCCTCCTCCCTCTGCTTGGAGCTGCTCCATCCTGTTGCCCCCTGGTCCAGGCTGCAGCTAGAACGCTGTGCCCCTGGGCCCTCGGCTTTGGAGTTTCTGGCTTTGTTGGGGGGGGGATCTGTGGCTGCTACTAACTCTGGTCTCTCCATCTGTCTGTTTTGTTTTGTTTTTTTTTTTTTTCTTTTCTCTTCCTCTACTCCATGCCTGCTGGCTTCCCTGTTCTTCCCTGCCTCCCTCTTTCCCTCCCTTCTTGACCACCCCATTTTCCCCCTGCCGGTTCCTGGGGGGAGCCCAGGTGAGGACCTGGAAAGGAATGACGGCTCTCAGGAGCGACCCTACTTCATGTCGCCCGAGCTGAGAGACATCCTGTTGAAGGGGAGTGCGGAGGAGGGGAAGCGGGCAGAAGTTGAGGAGTAGAGAGGGAGGGAGGCGTGGGGGCCAGGCAGGCCTCCTCGTTTCCTCCCTGTAGACCGGGGGTGCATGCGGGACAACCCTGCCTGGGAGTGTGGGGAGCGTGTGCGTGTCCCGTTCCTGAGCCCACCACAGCCTGCCCCTCTCCAGTCCCAGTGTGTCTTGCTTCCTAACCCTCTGAGCCTTCTCTGTGGCCCTTGTCCTCCCACCCTGTCCCCAGAGGCCCCTGCCCATGGGCTCCCCTCATGCCACCGTCTTGGGGGCCTCTCTCCACAGTGGAGGACCTGGAGAGGAATGATGGCTCAGCCGAGAGGCCTTACTTCATGTCTCCCAACCTCAAGAGGCTCTTAAACAAGACCAACAAGAAGCTGGCGGAGTCCTAAAGGCCCTCTGCTCTCCCCCCACCTCTCCACAAGTCTCACACTGGGTGCTTGGCAGCTGGGTCAGAACCCCTGGCCACCTGGGCTCACCTGAAGTCCAATCACTGCCGCCTTCCCCCACCCCCCCAACCATCCAGTTACCGCTGGATTCCAGGGACCTGGAAGATTTGGGGCCTCTCCTCCCTATGCCAAGGGGCAGTTGGAGTTTTCAGGGCGGCGCCCCAGGACTGCACGCACAGCTCACTCCAGCCCTCGCTGGCCCGGATGGGGAGAAGTCCGGTGAGGCCTCTTGATGTCCGGCAGGCAGGGGCGCCCGACCTCTGTGGGCCGCCTCATGCTTCCTGTTCTCTTACGATGGGGCCGCGTGTGTGTGTCTGCAAGAGCGATGGCCAAGCTCCGGCCCCTGAGGCCCCCCCCGCCCCCGTTCACTCGTGTCTGCTCCGGCCAGGACCGAGCCCCTTCTCGACGGCTGAACAGCTGCCTCACAGGCTGCCATACACGTTTATTATTATTTTTTAATCCGGACATGCATTAAAGGGTCTATTAGCTTTTTTCTGTCTCCACGGCTGAGATGGGGCCAGCTGCGGAGTGCCTTGTGTCGTGCCCTCCCTGCTGGGGTGGGAGTGGCGAGGCCAGGTGGGGGTGGGAGGCCACAGCAGGGGTGTCATGGAAGGAGAGGGAGTGAGTCTGTTGGGGGGGGGGGGAGGGCCGCTGGGATCAGGGAGCCGACCGGTGTGGACAGAGCCGAGCAGGAGGGAGGAGCCCGCTAACAGCTGCTTAATGGAAACCCGCTGGCTGGCTGGAGGCGTCCGGCCCAATTTCCCCCCTTCTCCCGCCAGTTACACAGCTTTCTTTGTGAGAGAGCAAGCAGCTGAGTCCACCCGAGGGACGACGTCAGGGGAAGGGGTGGGGGCAGATGCCGTGGGCAAACCCGGGCCTTCCCCCCACGCCATCACCTCACCTTGAGGGATCCTTTTGCCAAATTCACTGAACTCCGGGGACCTGGTCTCCTGGCTCCCCCTTCGCCCTACCCCGGGCCCCTGACTTCATGTCTTTGCTCATCAGCACCACGGTGGCACCCCAGAGGGGGAGAAACCCAGCCTGGGGTCCCAGGCTCCTGTGCCTGCCCGCCAGCCCTCAGGCCCCCCGTTCTGTCTGCACACTCTTGCGTGTTAACTGCATTCCAACCACTAATAAAGTGCCTATTGTACAGAGCCCGGGCCTGGAGTGTTTGTGGAGGGAGTAGGAGGCTGGTGGGAGGAACCCCAGCTTTGAGTGTCCTGGGATTGAGTCTCTGAACTGGGGCGAGTCTCCTGGGGGAAGGAGGGAGGGCAGGAAGCCCTCCGTCTGCTGGCCCCATCTCTGCCTGAATCCCACCACACAGGCAGCTCAGGTTTCTCCTGAACAAAATGCCACTTATTAGGGTCTGATCCCTAGAACTCCAGAAGGTGGCGACGGCCTGTCCACCTCCTGCCCAGCTCCTCAGTCCCACGGCCTGGACACATGCCCCCAGGCCTGCTTTGTCCCCAGGCCCAGGCACCTGAGGCGCCCACAGTCTCGTCCAGTCTCTGAACCTGCAAAGCTGCCAAGAGCTGAGCCCTGCCCGGCTGCCTGGAGGCTCACTGCTGCCCCCTGCTGCCAGCTATCTGTCACTGTCAGCTAGTTGCGCCACTGCCTTTCTCTGTACCCCCACCTTTGGAATTTTTTCTTCAGTAGCCACCATTTCTTGAGTACTTCCTATCTGCATACCATATATACCACTTTTATTACTCTCCTCGATAATTGAGGCCGGGAGGTTGGGTTACATTTCTGAAGGTGGCCAGTGGGAAAGTGGCTTAGAAGCACTTGAACACAGGTCTCCTTGACCCCAAGCCCTTACCCACTATCCCGTACGGACCCCAGAGAGTGTCGCCTCCTTATGTTCAGTTTGTTCTTTTCCTTATCCCCAGTTCCTGTTAGCCCCGCCTCCAAAATACCTCCCAAACCTACCCACTTCCTCCCCATCTTCAGCTCCCATCCCCCATTATCACCCACCTGAACCAATGCAGTCCCTTGCCCAGGTCCCTGGCTCCTGCCATCACCTCCCCTTCTCCACGGTTCCTCACACAGGTGCAAAGGGTGCTTGTAAACACTCTAGTGAGTTCACACTCCTTCTCTGCTCAAGAACCCTCCATGGCTCCCACCTTATTCAGCATAGCAGCCAAAATCCTCACTGCAGCTCATGAGGCCCTGCCCCCATCTGCCTCATGGCCTCCCCTTTGCTGACTCGTCCAGCCACCCTGGCCCCAGGGCTTGTGCCTGAAATGCTCCCCACCTGGCTCTTTGTGTGGCTAGCTCCTCATCCTTTGGCTTTCAGCTCAGGGATCACCTCCTCCAGGAAGCCTTCTGGGCTCATCAAAGGCCCCTCTTGGTGACCACACATCACCCTCTTTTTCTCATGGCATTTGTTAAAATCTGCAAGTATTTATTTGTCTTTTCACTTCATAATTGTTAGCCTCCCCACCCAGCATGTCAGCTCAAAGGGGAAAGAGATCTGGCCTCTTTTTTTACCACCTTCTCCCAGATGGGCAGAGTATGTAGTACACAGCAGGCACTCCATATACAGGCACAGAACAGCTGAATGACTGCAAAGGGCTTAGCACAGTGCCCGGCCTGGTGCACAGTGTGTCCACTGTTACTCGTATATTAGCATACGCCAGCATTTAAGTTCCCAGTCTTTTATGCACGCTCAAAACTCTCTGGCTGCTGTGTGTGGAGACGGTACCATACAAAAGTGGGAGCAGGAAGACCAATGAGGAGGTTACTGGAGGGGCGCCTGGCTGGTTGAGTCAGTAGAGCCCGCGACTCTGGGTTTCAGGGTCATGAGTTTGAGCCCCTGGGTTGGATGTGGAGACTACTTTAAAAAAAAAAGATTTTTAAAAAAAGGTTGTGGTGCACCTGTGTGGCTCAGTCAGTTGGGCGTCTGCCTTTGGCTAAGGTCATGATCTCGGGGGGTCCTGGGATTGAGTCCCATGTTGCCTCCCCGCTCAGTGGGGAGTTTGCTTCTCCCTCTGCCCCTCCCCCCTGCTTATGCACGTTCGCGCTCTCTCAAATGAATAAATGGAATCTTTAAAAAGATTAAATTTAAAAAAAGGTTACTGCACTAATCTGGGCACGTACTGCTGGGGGACTGGACTCAGGTGGTCTTGGTGAAGATAATGAAAAGCATGCAGATTTTGCATGTCATTTGAAGACTGAGCTCGACTTGATTGCACGTGCAAAAGAGAGGACTCAAAGAAGCAGGAGGAAGCAGGGCTGAGGGGGGCAAGCTTAGGCAGAGTCCTGTGGAGGGCACCTGTTGCCTGAGCCCGCAGGGAGCTCGGGAGGATAAGTGACATCTCAGAGCTGTCCTGAACTGGTAGGTCACGGACCAACAGCGGCCCAGGAGCTTACGATCCCAGGCACATCTGATTCTCCTGGGCGTGGAGGCAAAGTGTCCAGTATGACCCAGTCTGAGCCTCTTGATAGTGTTGGCAAAGTGGTCCCAAGCCCAGGGTAGTTCTCTGAAGAAGAGTTGCTGGGCAGGCGGTTGTGCAAAAGCCCGCAAAGCCCAGGCAAAGAGATGATAAAGCCGAGCTGATGGGATCCGGGCAGGTCGGTGTATTTTGGACTTGCTTCATACAAAATCTCTAAGGGAAGCGGTCACGTAGATGGTTGGATGTGTTGGGACTTCACAGAATTCTAGGCTGGAGGCATGTGATCGGGAGTGTGTTTTGATGGTCTCTGAGATCGTGGGGCTGGCTGAGATCACCTGGGGACTTAAGTGTCCAGAGAGGTGAGGTCTGAGCCCCGGGGAGAAGGAAAAAAAGCGGGCTCAGGGGATAGCCAGAGAGCGGCAGCGTCTGGAGCTGAGTGGAAGTCAGAGAGTGTGGGCACAAGTGCTCCTGGCTTTAGTGTGGGAGCAAATGAATGGAGCGACTATTTTCTAGTGCAGTAAGAAGGATGTCAGCGGAGGGCAGAGCGTGCAATGTTGGAAGCCGTAACAAGGTGTGAAAAATTGGGAGAACACTGCATGAGTGAGCAGCATTAGGACTGTGGGGTTTTTTTTCCTCCCCCAAACTCACCAAGGTGGGAGGTGCAGGCAGAGGGTGGATTTAGTTTGGGGTTGACAAAGAGGCGCAGGGGCTTGAGGGTATGTGCAAGGGGAGATGCAGGAGGGATGCTAGCTTTCTGCTGTCCAAAACCCACCCATAGCTTTCAAAGCACTCGGGGTGAAAGCCAAGGTCTCTGGGGCCCTGCAGGACCTATCCACCCTTTCTTGGACGGCCCTCCCTCCCACCCCAGCCCCCTTCCAGCACCTCACACCTCTTTGCTGCTCCTTCCCTAAGCACGGTCAACCTCTGGGACTTTGTACTGGTTGTTCCCTCTGCCTGGAATGCTCATCTCCCAGCAAGCTGCGTGGCCTCAGTCCCTCGCTCCCCATAAGGACTTTGCTGTGCACTGCCCAACTCAAAATGTCACCTGCCCCAGCCCCGCCATCACCGCCGTGCTGCTTTATTCTCATCCACTGCACTTGCCACTACCTAGCTTATTGTTTATCACCTGCCTCCCCAGCGAGGTCAGCTCCACGAAGGCAGGGCCATGGCATGGTTTGTTTGCTGTGTCCCCAGCAGCAGCTCCGGGCTGCACAGCTTCAAGGCCAGCTCCTCCCACCCTCCCAGATGGTCTGGGTCACCGGCGGGCTGTACACAAGCTCTTTTCTGCTTGGGTTGGCCAGCATTCATTTCTGTGGTTTGCAGCTCTGAGAGGTACCAATCCAGAATACTCCAAGTGGTGCGGCCAGGCCAAGGGGAGGGAGCCCCCTGCCCTAGTGGAAAGGAGGCCTGCAGGCATGGGTGTGGGGGCTAGTTACAGGCTGGCGGAAAACAAAGTGGCTCTGGCAACTGACAGACACAAAGAGGTCTTCCAATTCTCTAACATTCTTGGAACAGGTAAAGCTGATCCTGGGGATGTAATAGGGCCAGGGACTGGCTAGGGACAGTAGGAGGGAGATTCCTGGGGCTGTGCTGACATCCCTTATCTTGATTCGGGTGGTGCTCACACAGATGCATACGTAAACATTTACCAAGATGTACACGTAAATGATTGTATTATACCTTCATTGAAAAAAAAAAGTGGCTTCGGGGAAATGGGGAGTTCCCCTTTGGCTCCTGTCCGTGAGGTTGGACTGACTTGGGCACAGTGGGGGCCAG